CAAGCGTAGGGAGGAACCTGGGGGAATATGTGGTGAATCACTGCTTTGGCCTGTGAGTGAATGAGAAAACATATGGAAAGCCTTTGGCACAGTGCCTGGCACATAGCAAACCCCCAATAAATGTGAGTTCTTTTTTTTTTTTTTGAAAGGTTTATTTATTTTAGAAAGAGAGAGCGGGGAGGGGCTGAGGGAGAGTGAGAGAGAGAATCTCAAGCAGATTCCCTGCTGAGCGTAGATCCCCACTTTGGGCTCGATCCCATGACCCTGAGATCATGACCTGAGCTGAAATCAGGTCAGAGGTTTAGCCGACTGAGCCACCCAGGCGCCCTTGGCAGTTCTCTGTTCCACCCTAACCAGTTAGCAGAAAATCTAGCTTAATGCAGAGATTGGAAGATCATATGATGGGAAGGATTGGTTTGAAGTCATACGGGGTTGAGTCACAGGCCAACTGTGTTAGTTACTAGCTGTGTGACCTGGGAAAAGTTACTTCTCCTCTCTGGGGCTATGTCTACCCTGTGAAATGATGATGCCTACCTCACAGGGTCATTGTGAAGACACAACAAGATAAAGTGCTTGCCCGCGTTTGATAGAAAACAACTATCAGGTAACACAATGTCAATGACTCTCAAGATAATACAACTGAGATATACACTGAGTGTCTGCTATGTGCAGGACTCAGTTCTGAATGCTGTAAGCATAAATAGTCCTGTGATTCCACAAGAACCCTAGGAGGCAGGTGCTACTATTATATCCATTTTGCAAATGAGGGAATCTAAGTGATATTTAAAGATATGTCAAAGTGATATTTAAAGACAGTCACGGGCGCCTGGGTGGCTCAGTTGGTTAAGCGACTGCCTTCAGTTCAGGTTATGATCCTGGAGTCCCTGGATCGAGTCCCACATCGGGCTCCCTGCTCGGCAGGGAGTCTGCTTCTCCCTCTGACCCTCCCCCCTCTCATGTGTTCTCTCTCAGTCTCTCTCTCTCAAATAAATAAATAAAATCTTAAAGACAGTCACAATTGATAAGTGCCAGAGTCAGGATTAAAACCCAGGCGGTTGAACTCCAGAGCCTGCACCCCCAGTCACTGCATTGCAGTGCAAAGATTAGGCACTGGGCTCCAATCAAAGTCACTAATGCATGGAAACCATTTCACAGAGCCCGATGCATGAGAGACACTCATTTAAGGATAGATGTCATTATGTACATTGTGTCAATTGGAGTCTGACTGGACTGAACTAAATCCCAGTTCTAACGCTTACTAGTGACCTAGTGTATTTGTGAGCTATTGATTTGTAAAAATTACCCCCAAACTTAGAGGCTTGAAACAACAAACATTTACTATCTCACAATTTCTGAGTTACAAATCTGAGAGCAGCTGAGGTGGGTGGTTCTGAGCCAGGGTCTCTCAGGAGATTATAGTCAAGATATCAGTTGAAGCTGCACCATCTGAAAGCTTGACTGGGGTGGAAGGGTCTGTTGCTAAGATGGCTCACTCACATGACTATCGTCAGGGGAACTTCCGTTCTTCTCTGGATATTGGTAGGAGCCTGAGTTTCTTAACATGGGGACCTCTCCATGGGGCTGCTTGAGTGTCCACAGACATGGCAGGGAGAGAAATGAGAAATAGAGAGAGAGAGAGAGAGAAGCCACAATGTCTTTTATGACCTATTCTTGGAAGTCCCAAACCATCACGACAGTATTGATCAGAAGTGCAGAAGTAAATCCAGTCCGTATCCAAGGGCACAGGAATTCAGGTCCATCTCCTGAAGGGAGAAATATCAAAATCATTTGTTTCAAATGACCAACACCAAGGGGCAAGTTATTAATCTCTCAGTGCTTTTATCCTTTAAAATGGGTTATTATTAATATTCTTCACGGCAACTTTGTGGGGTTAAGTGAGATGATTCACACCAAGAGCCTAGATGGTGCCTGACCGACAGAGTAGGTAAGCATCCATATATGTCAGCTCTGATTATTATTTATTATCAGCTATGTTGAACATGGCTGTGCCTCTTGTCCCTTAGTCCCAGTCTTCTCACCCTGTCAAATGGGATTAGTGATATTTGCTGTGTTCAAGCCACACAAAAACTATTTGTTGAATACATGCACGAATGAATTTATTGAACACATACTATATGCCAGGCCCTGTTCTAAGCACTAGGGACATATAACTAAACACACCAGAAAAGGTTTTACCCCTATGCAATATACATTCTAAAGGGGGAAGACAAAAAATAAAACCCCACAAGTAAACAACAAAGTGAATCATTTTATTTTTTAAAAGATTTTATTTATTCATTTGAGAGGGAGAGAGAGAGAGAGCATGAGCAGGGAGAGAGGGAGAAGCAGACTCCCCGCTGAGCCAGGAGCCGGATGTGGGGCTCGATTCCAGGATCCGGAGATCATAACCTGAGCTGAAGGCAGACACTTAACCATCTGAGCCACCCAGGCACCCCTAAAGCAAATCATTTTAGAAATAAAAAACAAAACATGGCGATGTATGCAAGATAGAACGCAATGAGATACGACCAACACACCCACCAGAATGGCTAAAAAGACTGACAACATCAAATATTGGTGAGTATGTGGGACAAACAGAACTCTCATGCATTGCTTATGGGTGTGTAAAATGGCACAATCAGTTTGAGAAATATCTGGCAGGGTTTTTTTTTTTTTTTAAGATTTTATTTTTAAGTAATCTCTATACCCAACGTGGGGCTCGACCTCACAATCCTGAGATCAAGAGTCGCATCCTCCGCTGACTGAGTCAACAGATGCCCCTCTGGCAGTTTCTTATAAAACTAAACACATATCTTTTCCTAGAACTTGATGATCCCACTTTCAGGTATTTACTCAAGAGAAAAAAATCCACACAAAGACTTGTATGAGTTCATAGCCACTTTATTGATAGTAGTCCCAAACTAGAAACAGCTCAATGTCCATCAATAGGAGAATGGACAAACTGACATATATTCATGCAATTGAATATTCAGCAATAAAAGAAACTTCTGATGCAACAACACGAATGACTCAAAAACATGCTGAGTGAAAGAAGTCAGTCACAAAAAAGTACACAGCATAAGATTCCATTTATAGCTCTAGAACAGGCAAAACTCATCTACGGTGAAAAAAATTAGAACAGTGGGAGATGGGGCTGATGGAGAAGAAGCAGGAAGGAACTTTCTGGGAAGATGGAGATGTTCTATAGCTGCACTGTTTGACACGCTGGCCACCAGACTTGTGGATTATTTCAATTAAATTATTTAAAGTAAAGTAAAATGGAAAATTTGGTCCCACAGAAGCAGTAGGCACATTTTATTTACTCAACAGCCACATGTGGCCAGTGGCTACTGTATCTGGATAGCATTATTCCATGTCTTCCTAGGAATGCATCCCCAGGGATGAGTTGTCAAAAAGCCCAGAATGGTGAAGTTAAGATTTGTGCATTTCATTTGTAAGACTTATGTTTAAATACATTGAACTCGCTTAAAGCTACGGAGGCTGATGTGTTGAGGGTGAAGTATACTGCTGTCTACAGCTTACTTTGAAATGCATCCAAGAATAAGATGGACTGTTGGAGGGATCGGGAGACACACCGATGTACGGTAAAGCAAATATAGCAAACTGTTAACTGCAGGATCCAGGTGGGTATATGTATCTTCCTCAGACAAGTCTTTCAACTTTTCTGTGTGAACACTTTTGTAATAAAATTATGAAGGATCACCAGTTTTATTAAGGCTTTGTGATGTTTGCAATGTATTTATTTGTCCTACTAGTATCATATACGGTATCTTTAATTATGACATAATTAAAGAATGATTATCAAGATGGAGAAACACAGTGGGGCGTCTTAGCTAGGGGGTCAGAGAATAACCAGAAAAGGTTCCTTCAGGGATCACATTCATTCATTCATTCATTCAGGACACAGGGATGAATCAGACCTGGTCTCCTCTCTTGAATCCAGGAGGTGCCATGAGAGTAACCCATTGTGCAAGGGTGCTGAGGACCTACTGTGTGCCTGGGCTGGAGCATGGGTCTGTGGGACACCACAGCCCAAATACTTTTTGAACTGTGCCACACTGGTTCCTTGTGGCCCTGACTATCTCTCTGGCTTGACTACCCTACCCTTCCTTCACCTTAATTTTGGGCAGATCCAAAAATGTCCGTCCCGTGAGGGTGGGGACTTTGTTCACCGCTTGATATCCACCACCGAGCACATAGGAGATGTTCAACAAGCCTGAACCAAAGAAATATAAGAATGAAAATTGTGGTTCCGTTGGCCTCTCCACTCTGAGGCTTTTGAGCTTGCTGCTCGTGCTGTCTGGACCACTAGGTCTCTTTGGTTCTTGCACCCTCTATTCTCGTCATTTCTGTCTCTGCTCCAGCATCCCCTCCTGCAAGAGGCCTTCCCTGACCACCTTGCGAGTCTCCCCACCTCTCCATCATCACGTCATCCTGCCTATTTCCCTCTTCTGTTAAAAAAAAAAAAAAGCAATCAATACCAACGTACAAAACAATACATGTTTATAGATTTATTTGAAAATCACCAGTTTTATTAAGGGTTTGTGATGTTTGCAACGTATTTATTTGTCCTACTAGTATCAGCTTCTCCCCAGATGTTCACTATAAAGCAGGAAGGCTCTCCGAGTGCACCTCATCCTGTTTTGGTTCCTTCATACTATTGTCACCCTCTGAAAAATTTTTTTCCCTGTTTTGTACGCTTGTCTGTCTCCTCTTCTTAAAGGTAAACTCCAGGATGGCAGGAACCTTGCGAGGTTTGCCCACGGCCCCATACGGTCAGTGCTCAGCGACGCGGCCTCGCTCCATCAGCGTGCACGGCTCCTGCAGTCTCGCTGCTGCACTGGGAGGAGGGAGCCCAGACCCGCGCGGTCCTGGGAGAAGATGCGAGCGGAGAGCCTGGGCCTGCGGACGGTCCCCAAAGCCACGCCCCCCGAGCCCCGCCTCCGCCGGGGCGCGTGCCGCAGCCTCGCTCTGGGGCCAGAGCCTGCGCGCTCGCGCCCCGCGCGCCCCGCGCTCCCCGCGCTCCCCGCGCCCTTCGCGCGCCCCGGCCGGCGGGGGTTTCTTTCCCCCAACGCGCCCTCCGCGCCCCGCTGTCATGTCTCCGGGCCCGGCCCGGCGGGGGGGCGCGGCCCAGGCCCCGGCGCCCGCGGCGAGCGACCGCCAGGGGCCATGATCCGGCTCGGCGGCTGGTGTGCGCGGCGGCCCCGCGGCGCGGCGTTCCCGGCGGGGCGGCGCTGGGGGGCGGGCTGGCCGGCGGGCCGGGCGTGCGGCGGCGCCCTGCGGGTGCTGGTGGACATGGACGGCGTGCTGGCCGACTTCGAGGGCGGCTTCCTCAGGAAGTTCCGCGCGCGCTTCCCCGACCAGCCATTCATCGCGCTGGAGGACCGGCGCGGCTTCTGGCTGTCCGAGCAGTACGGCCTCCTGCAGCCCGGCCTGAGCGTGAGCATCCCCCGCCCCGGGGCCCCGAGCCCACCGGAGCCTGGCGGGACTGCGGCCCTCCTTCCCAGCCCTGGGCCGGGAGCCCGCGTGACCTTGGGTGGGGGTCACCTCCCCGAGCCCCGGGGTGGTCCTCTCGTAAAACGGGGGGGGGGGGCGGATGCTGGGGAGGACCGGGGGCGCCGCGCCCCGCGCAGCCCGGCGCCAAGGAACTGTTGGCTGTCATCGAGGCTTCTCAAAAGTCGGGAGAGTATGAAGCGTAAAATAGGAACTCTATCTTTAGCTGACTTTTTAATTTTTGGTGCATTTGGCCGCAAGTCTTGAAATTTTTTTAAATGAAATAAACGTTACAAGTAAAGTCCTCTTTGACCCCTGCCACAGTCACATGCCCATTTCTTCATCCTCACGAATTTGATGAGTGTCTTTACCGTTCTTTTTTGTCCTTTCCCGTGAATGCATAGCTCCCAGTATTTGAGGCCCAGAGAAGTTGAGTGACTTTCTGGACATCACAAAATGAGTCAGTGGTCAAGATGGGGTGGGTTCAACTCCTTGGTTTATCCCCTTGCTTTGGTGGCCCTGCTGAACCTGAGCCCACCACTTTGCTGTCTGCGTCCAGGATGGATGGAGGGGAAATATCCAGGCATGTTTATAGACAGATGGCTTAGTTTGTGAGTTTAAACTATTTCGGGAAAGGAACGGGATTTTGCCTTGCACAAACTTAAAGAGGCTGATGTTTTCTGGCATCTCTTGATTGGCCACCCAAGGTCACCACCAGAAGTGTGATGATGATGATATTCGAGGCTATTTTGTATCCACAGGTTGACTGCATTGTCTTCCATGTGAGGTAGACATTATTATCTTCATGATGCAGATGAGGAAGCTTGTCCCAAGTCCTATAGCTAGTAAGGGGCTCAGCTAGGATTCCAACCCAAGTCTGTCTGCCTTCCCAAGCACATTTAGCTTTCCCCACCCCCAAATCCTCTTCTCTGTCCTGCTCTAACAAGTGACATTTCTTTTGACTTAAAAAAGTAACTTGACAATAATTGGTTTGTTGAGAGGCAGGTGTTAGAAAGAAAACCAAGCACCACGGCTCTTCGTCAACACCGTGCACTTCAGAAGGTGACTTTCCCAGAGTTCTGTGTGTTCACTTCTCCGAGCTCTAATACCTGATTACCAACTTCAGGCTGGAGAGAATATCCTAGTGATTTTTGCGGTCTTAGTAACAGACGCCCCTGCTCTATGTGGCTGTTCATATAGACAGTGCACAGTATTGGCAGTCTGGACACCTTATTTCCTCCCAGGAGTGTATTGGGGTGAGGAAATAAAGCCCACCCCCAACTCTGAAAAGGACAGTGGCTTTTGAACTCCTTTGTACAGATGTGCAGACTCCACATTTAAAGAGATCATTTTACCATTTTCTAAGGACTAGGCAAAGAAATGGAGCTCTTGGGACGCTAAGGATGCAGTGTTCTGGGAGTGACCTGCTGAGTTCTGCTTCTGGGAGCATTGCAGGAAATAGGATTTTAATAGATGAACACATGTCCTATGTCCCCAGCATAGCCCACAGCAGGACATCCCTGGGTCTCCCCTTGGCTGAGGTGGCCCGGCACCTACAGGTAAAAACAACCAAGGAACCAACCCACCTTGATTATGTAAGCATTTCTGCTTTACAAAATATCACTCTCTTGGTAACCCCTTTGATCTTCACAGGGCTTGCAGAAGTAATCAGGGCAGAGGTGGAAGGCAAAGCTCATTTTAACTGACTTAGAATCCTACACTGTTAGGACAGTTGAAGAACTCAGCCCAGAGAGGGGAAGTGCCTTGACCAGGGTTTCAGAGCCAAGTTAGTGATGGAAGGAGGGAGGGGATGCCGGGATGCTGATTATTGAGGCAAGGTGGTGAGGCCAAGATCACACAGCCAGGGCCAGGACCCCTTACTCGTCCGTCAAGTACATTTTCCCCCCGTCCCCACTGCCTCTGGGTGAGTCAGAAGCCCTGAGTCAAGTTCTGACAGTATCACCCATAAGTGGCCTTGAAAACAGTCCTCTGTAAGCCTCTTTCCTTATCAGTAAACTGGGGATAGCGATTCTTGCCCCTTGTGGGAGGTGAGGGTGAAACAACAGAGACCATATATTAGCTATCAGTACTCATTTGCTTCAGCCCACATAGTTCACAAGAATAATGCCAGTGTAATCTCGGGGTGCTCCACCTCTAAGTGGGACATGGTGGTGGTGCTTGTTCTAGAGTGTGCGGGTTCTGACCTGGGAGAGACACCTCCTGCTGCAGACGTGGGATTCAGGTTCCTGTTCCTCGGAGGCCAGGGTCTGTCCCCCCTCCCCTTGTCCTGGGCCTGGAAGAGTGTGGCATTCTGCAAACTGATTTTAGGCCGGTGACAAAAGGTAGAACCTTGTAGCCTCAGAGTCAGGAGATGGTGTTCAGCTCTCAGTAATGCCACTCTTTTGCTGTGTGGCATTGAGTAAATCCCTTCCCCATTCAGAGCCTTGATTTTCTCATATGAACAATGAGGGTCTGGATTTTTGGTTTTCAGACTTTAAAAGCTGCAGAATACTTTTTAAACAAAGTACTTAATGACATACCAATGCATAAGACAGATACCAGAGCTGTTCCAGTTGATACGGGTGAGGAACCTGGAGTTCTGCTCATTTGGCCTTCCACCCGCCCTCCCTGGCCCCCCTTACCCCACATGGCACAGCAGTGCTCTTAAGAATCTCTGAGTTCCTCCAGCTCTTGAATTTAAGGACTCTAGTGCCATGGCAAGACCAGGTCCACCCACAGAGCCTCTGAGATGCCTCCGGCCGTTAGAATCAAGCAAGCGCGTGATTCATGATGACTTGCCTTTGGTCCCAGACGGCTCTAGCCATGCCTCAAGGAGAGCAGGCTTCGGGATCCATAGCTCCTGACCCCTTAGCTGGTCTCTACTGGATCTTTGCAGACGTCAGAGCTCCTGGAGAGGGGCTGGAACACACACATGCTCCATGTGATTCCCCAGTCCCCCCAGGATATGACCTTGGGTATGTGTGTGTGTATTGGGGGAGGAACGTGGAAGGCTCACACTCTTCTTGTCAACAGCTCTTCCCAGCTGTGCCATCGTCCCTGTGATGAGGCAATGTGCTGAGTCCCCTGAAGTCACCCACTTCTCTCTTGTCTTCTTAGGAGAAGGCCATTAGCATATGGGAATCAGAAAATTTCTTTCTTGACCTGGAGCCTCTGCCGGGGGCTGTGGAAGCTGTGAAGCAGATGGCCAACCTAGAAAAGTAAGTTTGTCTTCTCGCCTGAGCATCTGTGCCTTCCCCCTGCCAGTGCCTCCCCTACTCTTCCCCGCCCTCTGCCTCTCCTCACCCCTGCACAGGCCCATGCTTGTTTCTTTGGTACTCAACCTGGTGACACCCTGAGTGAAACAGTCTCAGCTTGTAAACCAGTGTGGTGCTTTGATCTGGTAACAGGAGAAAATATTGAGTCTAATTGGACCTGGTTAACTGGGTGCTGGATGTGCATTTAATCAGCAAATAGCTGAGAACCGACTGTTAGATGCTGCTGGACAACAGTGATACAGAGATGAACAAACACGGTCCTGCCCTCATGGAGCTCACAGAGTAGACATTAAACAAAGAATCTCACAAGCAGAGATAATCACAGATTGTGGTAAGCGCTGGAAAGGAACCGAGGAAGGAGTACGAAGAGGTCTAAAGGAGACCTAACAAGAAAACTCGGTGTGGAAGCAGTGTGAGCTATTTCTCTTTTGTTCTAGTGAAGTGGCTGCTTCTGGGAGCTGAAGCCCCAGTTCCATAACCATTCACTAAAATCCATTAGCAGTTACAGATGACGTGCTTCCCTGAGGACTTAAAAAACAACAACAGCCGCATTGAGATATGATTCACATACCCTACACCCATTAAAGTGTAAAATTCAGTGGTTTTTAGTATGTGGACAGCAGAGTTGTGCATTCATGACCGTAGTCAATTTCTGAAGACTTTCATCAGCCCCAAAAGAAACCCTATACCCCTTACCAGTCACTACCCCTTCTCTCTCCTTCCCCTGCAGCCTTAGGCAGCCACTGTCTACTTTAGGGCTCTGTAGATTTGCCTGTGCTGGACATTTCATGTATATCTCATGTGCATTTCACACAGTACACTATGTGGTCTTTTGTGATTGGCTTCTTTTATGCAACATTGTGTTTTCAGGGTCATCTCCTTTGTAGCACAAGTCAGTACTTCATTCCCTTTCATTGCTGAGTAATATTCCTCTGTATGGATATGACACATTTTGTTTATCTGTTCATCAGTTGGTAGACACTTGGATTGTTTCTGCTTTTTAAGAGTAATACTGCTGTGAACACTCATGTAGTTTTTTTGTGGTTGTATGTTTTCATATAGGTTGTCTATACCTAGGAGCAGAATCACTGGGTCGTGTGGTAAATCCATGTTTAACATTTTGGGGACTGCCAAGCTGTTTTCCAAAGCGACAGTACCATCTGACATTCTCATTAGCAATGTATGAGGGTTCCAACTTCACACCCTTGCCAACACTTGTGGTCTTTTTTATTCTAGCCATCCTAGTGGGTGTGAAGGGGTATCTCATCATGGTTTTGATTTGCATTTCTCTGATGGCTAATGATTTGAGCATCTTCTTGTGTGTTTTTAGCCATTTTTTAATGTTTTTTGGAGAATTATCTTTTTTTGCTAATTTTTTTCAATTGGGTTATTTATCTTTTTATTGCTGTTTTTAAGAGTTCTTTATTCATTTTATTTTTTAAAAAAGATTTTGTTTATTTGAGAGAGAGAGAGAGAGAGAGAGAGAGAGAATGAGTGGGGGAGGGGCAGAGGGAGAAGCTGACTCTGCGGAGCAGGGAGCCTGTTGAGGGACTGGATCCCAGGACCCTGGGGTAATGACCTGAGCTGAAGGCAGGTACTTAACCAAATGAGCCCCCCAGGCACACAAAGAGTTCTTTACGTATTTTAGATGATAAGTCCCTTATCAGATATATGATTTGCAAATATATTCTCTCATTCTGTGGATTGTTGTTTTAGTCTCTTCATGGTATCCTTTGAAACCCAAAATTTTTATGTGGATATAGTTCAATTTATCTGTTTTTTTCTTTTTTCTTTTCTTTTTTTTTTTTAAGATTTTATTTATTTATTTGAGAGAGAGCATGAGCAGAGGCAGAGGTAGAGGGAGAGGGAGAAGCAGACTCCCCACTGAGCAGGGAGCCCGACACGGGGCTCCATCCCAGGACCCCGGGATCATGACCTGAACCGAAAGCAGACCCTTAACTCACTGAGCCACCCAGGCACCCCTGTTTTTTTTCCTTTTGTCATTTGTGTTTTTGGTGTGTATCTAAGGGTTGTTTGCCTAATCCAAGGTCACAAAGACTTGCTCCTATGTTTTCTTCTACGAGTTTTATAGTTTCTGCTCTTACATTTAGGTCCTTGATCCATTTTGAGTTAATTTTTGAATATGGTGTGAGGAAGGTGTCCCACCTCATTCTTTTGCATGCAGAAATCCACTTCTCAGTACCATTTGTTGAAAAGACTCCCTCCCCCCGTCCATTGAATTGTCTTGGCTTTCTTGGCAAACATCAACTGACCAACAATATTAGGATATATTTCTAGGCCTGTATATACTTTTATTGGTCACAGTTTTGATTGAATTTACCAACCTGAGAGACCAATGAAACATAAGGTCCGATTCGGTCTTTATTGTGCCATATAAAGGCCTCCAAAAATCATCAGCGTTCAAAGTTCTGACTTGGTAAATGGGCATCAGAGGAACACAAAATGCTTAGAGTTCGAGTTGAATCATAGACTCGTTTGGTAATTTATTTTTAGACTTGACTCAGGTTGTGCAGAGTAGTATATTTCATTCTGGTTTATGATTTGAACTTGATTGATACTGGAGTACTGTTGTATAACTTCTTGCATCTGCAGGAAGAGCCTAGAGAGGCAAAGCATATGTGTATTTGCATTGCAGCTTTTCAAAGCTCTATTTGTGTCTGGATCAGCGTTTCCGGGACCACATTCAGCCAACTGTATCCTGGGGTGCTAGATGGCATAGTGGCTAAGGTTATGTCCTAAGTGGAATAAGACTGCCCAGGCTCAAGCCCGGGCTTTTCCAGAATCTAATCCTCAAACATTGGGCAAGTTATTAAGCTTTCTGGGTCTCAGTTTCTTCAACTGTAAAATGAGGGGAATGAGAGAGGCCTCACTATAGCGCCTGGCACATAGTAGGTGCTCAGTAACCGTTAGCCGCAGTTGTTATTATTCTGCAAGATTTAATAGGTATGCAACAAAAAAAGCGTTCTTTAACCAAAACAGTGTGGGGGACATTGGATTAAGGAGGTTTCTTTACCATAAGACTTCGAAGGGCTTCAGGTTTGCTAATATGCATCGTGCCTCTTCACTGGGGTAGCAGAGGATGCCGCTTTTCTTCATATGTATTCTAGTCCAGAGCACTCTTTCCCACAGCTTCCCTGTGAACACTTCTGTGAAAATGCAAGTCTAGACCATACCACAGGTCTGTCACCTCCATTTTGGCTCTTAACGGGGTAGATTCCCAAGGTCAGTCAATGCCCAAAGTGTGGACAGAGACGGGGTCTAGTCCGTAGCGAAGTGGCTAGCTGTGTGTGTGGTCCTGAAGTAGACAGCAGCCAAGATTTAAAATGTTACTGAAGGAATATTTGTCAGGCACCTGCTATGGGCAAGGCCCTGACACCAGATGCTGCAGATACAGAAGTAGATACAAGACGGTTCTGGCCTTGGAGAAGTTCACCAGGAGACAAATGACTAGAACAGAGTTCTGGAAGTGATGTGGTAGATGTACGGATAGAGTCGGGCAGGGCTACTCCCCAGGGCAGGCAGCGACACAGGAGCTGTTATGCTGAGACGTGAAAAGGAATCTGCCGGGCGGAGAAGGCAAAGGGGTTTCCGGTAGGAGGGGAAGAGTGAGCCAACACCTTATCTGCCCGCTGTCCTAAAACCGCCTCCCTGGCAGGCTGTGTCCTGGCTCCAGGAGCACTGGGCAGGCGGCTGTACCGTCCTGGGCCTCACATCACGGCCCAAAGAGCCTCCTTGGAATATCTTCAGGGGCGACTGCCCTTTATTCAGTAATACCTGAGTGTATTCTTACGAAACACTCAAACGGTGGGAACACATGTGAAAAAAATGTGACTTGCCCATTTTGTCCCTCTCTCCCCGTGTACATCTCCCTCAATCCCACTCTTCCTGTCCTAGTGAACAATTTGGGGTGCGCACCTCCAGACCTTCTCAAATGCACTTGCATACATGTTTGTCTATAGGTTTGCAACGTATCTGTTCTACCCGGCAGCCAGAGCGGTATCTCTAAACCAAATTCTGCTGATGTGGGTCCCCTCTTAAAACTCTCTCTTGGCGGGCGCCTGGGTGGCTCAGTTGGTTAAGCGACTGCCTTCGGCTCAGGTCATGATCCTGGAGTCCCAGGATCGAGTCCCGCATCGGGCTCCCTGCTCGGCAGGGAGTCTGCTTCTCCCTCTGACCCTCCTCCCTCTCATGCTCTCTGTCTCTCATTCTCTCTCTCGCAAATAAATAAAAAATTAAAAAACAAAACAAAACAACTCTCTCTTGGCTTCTTTTTGCACTCAGATAAAACCCTAACTCAGCCAGGCTTGTGAGGTGGTCTGCGACCCGGCCGTGCTACCCTCTGACCTCTTTTCCCCTGTTCCAGGCCAAGCTTGTTTCTGATCTTACAGCCTTTGTTCCTAGCAAATCCTCTTGTAGTGTTTCTCCTCGAGTACTTGGCGTGGACACATTGTTGTTGTTGTTGTTTTTTAAGATTTTATTTATTTATTTGACAGAGAGAGAGAGCACAAGTAGGCAGAGCGGCAGGCAGAGGGAGAGGGAGAAGCAGGCTCTCCGCTGAGCAGGGAGCCCGATGTGGGGCTCGATCCCAGGGCGCTGGGATCATGACCTGAGCCGAAGGCAGACGCTTAACCGACTGAGCCACCCAGGCACCCCTGGCCACATTGTTTTTAATCCTTCAACTCCAAGCACTTTGCGTGTCACCTTCTCAAAGAGGCCATCTTGCTGTTGCAGTAGAGGCCACTGTCCCCAGCTAGTCATTCTGCCACATTCCCCCGGCTAAGCTGAAGTTGTGTGTCTGTGTTTGTCCCTTCCTCTGTCAAATGTCAGCTCCCTGAGTTCAGGGATTGTCCTGGTCCCTAGCGTGCTGCCCGGTGCATGGTACGCGCTCAGCCATCTGCTGAAGAAACATTCACATCATAGTT